GCATGGTATCAGCCACTTCTCACTACAGGCACGAAAACTCACACATACTTTGGAATTCAATTTTAATATTCAAGTGAACTAAAATGGATTTAGAACATTTACTTCGCACATCTGATGGCGTACTATTAAGACATTTGTGGGTCTTTGATCCTATATCCCCCAGTTCAACATAAACCGGTAAATATTTAAAGCTGATTCTAAATTATACTCTTCTTGATGCAATCGCCTCTTGACTTTCACCTGTCTTTCATTATCCTCTTCCTGCTACGAAGCAGAAGTGGCTGTTCACAGCGTCTTCTTTTAGGTGTCTTCGCTGGATCATCAAGTGGTTTGATCCTAGGACATGGGGGGGAGAGGAAAAAGATATTCAAGTTTATAGATAGTTACCCTATATTCAGGCATTGATTAGGATTCTCACTCACAAGCATTCGCCAAAACTACGGAGGAGGACAAACGAAATGTCGAAAAAGATCTCCGATTTGATGGGAAGAAGACACCAGAGGAAGCTGGCTAAATATGGGACGCAGCTCAAAGTCAAACCAAGCTGCAAAAAATGCCTCTAAAATGATGAATCTAATAGACCAGACAAAAAGGGAAGATAAAGTATTGAATTTCTCTTCAGTACCACTTAAGCCAAGGTTACGACGAACTTAAAAAGTGATTACATTTTTCACATCGGAATCAAAGAAAACCAAGTGAAGACATTTTAATGGAAGTGACAAGAAGTTACCGGAAGAACAAAAACGAGAGCTGGAAATGGAAATCATACCTCACTCTTAGTGCATCAAGGACCCATGAATAGGAACGATATGACGAAGATATATATAAAATTTAAAGTGATCACATAACTCTACAAGCGGTAAAAGGTGTCACAGTAAGAAAGAACAGAAGGGAATATAGAGAAAAAATGGAAAATATTCTCAGGGACAATTTATTGGCTGCCCGCAAACGAATAGACAGATAAAGTCCAAGGGGTATGCAAAATATAATAAAGGAAATGAATACGAAAGGGGAAATCAACAATGTACAATTAATTGACCAATACTAAAGGATGTAACCCTCTCCCCAACGGCATACAAACCATTGTGAATAATAGTCAACAATAAACACGGAAAAACATATAAACTGGCGAAATTTATTCGTCTCAAATTGAATTCGAATGACAAGCTATCGAATGCGGTGAAGAATTCATAGGAATTTTGATGCACAGTCCATGTACACGAATATTCGAGAAAAAGAGCTCATGGTAATATCGAAAAAAGGAGAAGACATCCTGGAACCAAAGTCTCTAACCGGATTGGCCAACCTAACGATAATACCCATTTCACGTTCAAAGCCGCATCAAGGAAGAAATACTTGATCTGCCTATAGGTTCTTAGCGAATCTAAATTCTTCACCAGATATATATGCTCGCTTTCACTCAATTGTATAGGATACCCCTGCCCAGTATAGGGGAACACTAAAAATAATAGGCGAGGATACGATATTAAAAAAAACTATGATGGAGTGTTCGGGAGGGTTCAGGATCTGATAAATACGAGGCATGGCAAGAAATTCCTTAGCTATAGGATAGTAAGACACAGCAAGACCAAGCCAACCCGGACAAATTTTGATGGTTTTTTAGGAATAGAGACAGGATAGACGAGGCGGCGATTGGAGCTAGTTAGCTGACAGTGGGTTTTACAAGAGACGTGGTCCATGTGGCAAAGGCGTGACCATGAGACTTACTCTGAGGTTTGAGCCTCGAATTAGTCACCCAGGTGCCAGTGATGGACGAATTACGTCTCGAATAGCACCGATGGGGGGGCAGGGGTCGAGTGAAATACATGTACCAGGTAGATAGCAGACGGATTCGACGGGGCAAGAGGGAGACTTTGATAGGACCCAAGGAAGGACCACATAACAATATGACAGACTTTGGTCAAATTCCCATCACAAGGGTGAAGAGGGTGATAACGACAGTGTGGAGTGTGAAGGGTTTTCATGAATGTCACTCGAAGGGGCACACAAAACTACATTAGGAATAAGCACGGTAATAACTGTGACAGGGAAGGCATGATAGAAGGATATAGAAAATGTGAATAGGCCAGGGTAAAAGGTGAGATACCATAACTGTTTAGCACACATTTGGTCAAGGGATGGGCTTCACTTA